TGCAGGTTATATTTCGAAAATGGACAGAAAGGTTTTCTTCGTTGTTCGACGATCACAGCCGCGACCGTGAGGTTCGTAGTTGCTTAAGTGCACTATCTCAGTGTTTATGCTTTCATGTTATTCTTTAGTATTCAGCGATATGTAGAAGAGTGCATAATAGAGAAGAGATTTGTTTTCAGTTTTTTGTTTCTAGGTGGATACCGTAAAACAAGAAGAGGCTGTACGAGTGATTAGTTTGATGCGTCCTACGGCGGATCGTATACGTCGCGAAGAGGAACAGAAACTAGGCATAGTTATCATTGATGCAAGGTTATTATCTATTTGATAGTGTTTGACTTTCATAATCTTTTAGTCATTCTTTCTGTTTCATTGCAAAAAGTTACTCCTGAAAAAAAATCCAACAACACGGATTTCTACGCAAAGAGGCTCATATAGTCGCATGATCACCTAGCAAATGGATAAGTTTGTTTGGTTTATCTTTCGATTGCGACTGCTCGTCTCGTCCTTGGTGCTATATCAACAGATTATTTTCAACTTTCTTATCTTTAAAATAGCAAGGTTCCATTCCTTTTGTGGTTTGGAGCTGAGATAACGGCCGCTCTTCCTAACATGTGCAGTACTTGTTATACTTACTAGGGAAGGATACTCAAACTGTGGCCTTTTGCAGTAAGATGTACACCAGAAAATACGCCTTGAAAGGCTGATTCCAAGTCTATGTTCAATATCTGCTGTGCGACTTTTTGAAAGAAGTTAAGGATTTTTTAACGTCAATTTCACGAAATCTAGACGGTCAGAATCGTAGTACCCAGGCTTTCTAGAATCTGATTTATCGGAGGCAGTTTTCCTGAGCTTATCGCGAAGCTTTATTTTTTGGACGCTCTTTTACAGTGCGGAAGTGAATACTTCGATGATATTGGTGAATCCCGTTTCATAACAGTGCAGATTTTGGCGCAGAAATATTCATGAATTCTTTTGGAAGAGCGCATAGCAAATGCCGAAAGCAGATTTCGAGTTAGCGCTTTAAGGCGCATCCAGTGGTGTACGTTTCCTTCCAGAAGGCCACGGTCACCAATATTCTTTCCTTATTAGACAAGATAGGGGAGAGGGTACGACAGTAAAGTGTACCAAGCAATGTAATGTTCGACGTTCGTACGTTCCTCTGTAAGCAATAGTCCATCATATCAGTGAGTCAAGCTCTTATTGTTTACCTTGGCATCGTTGGTTTTTTGTTTAAAAATATTCATGCCCGAAAATAGATATTCAAATCTCGCTTATGTTTGTTGGTGGTCATTACTTGGTAGCAGTGAACATGCACTTTACATTGTTGGTACATACATATGATCACTTGACTGATGTATTAATTTGCAGATATGGTCAATCTGAATCAAGTGGTTCCTCATCATACGTCATTGCTGGAGATAGAACTATTGATGTCACCATCCCTCTTCAAGCTATGGTTAATGACTCGCAGCTGAGAATCTTTTCGGTCAAGGTGCTTTGAGTTCGAGTTGCGATAATTTGGACATATCTTTCATCTTTTCCAGAGCCAGTTGCCGGGTTTTTATGACCCCTGTCCAGGTGAACCAAAAATGTTGCATGTACGATACAAGTTCCGGGATGAACCTCATGCTGTAACCGTCGCTGATGATATGCCCTTGCAGATTCCAACAAAATGTTAGCTTACAAGTCCTTATCCTTTCATTTTCATCTTTTTCATCTCGTTTAGCTCATCGGATCTCCGGCAAGTAGGATATAGGATTTCCGATCGCCTATCTTTGTGGTACGTGCAAATTTCGAGTTTCTCTTTGCTCTTAGAACTTAAAGGGCACCACATTGCTTGGAAGTTGGAGTTGAACCTATTTACCGCTGCAGTGTGAGTGTGGTCATCCATGACGGTTTTTCTGATGCTAAAAAAGTGCTTTCATTTTCGTGTTTCTATTTCATGTGGCTGCACATTGAATATTGTATTCTACAGCCTCGTTCCTAAAAATTTAAGTGTTGTCAAGATGTTTGCACTGATATTACCTGTATCAGTTCCTGTATTTGTACATCCTTTTATCATAGGTCAATATTCGCTGATTACGTG